ACCCGGGGGGTACAAATCAAATTTTTATCATGTGAATTGTAAGATACCCGGGTACCTTATACGGCGTTTTACGGTATCGGGTGATATCACCACGGGTGAAAATTAGTTATAACCTTTTAAGAGTTAGCTACAGTATAAAATATTTTTCAATTAAAATTATATAAACTAAATACCAAGTAAAAAACCCAAATTAACAAAAAAAATCTTTTTATAGAGAAAATCTATTTGACGCCTGGAGCAAATTTGCCCGGATTTATTTATTTGTAAAACATTGACCAGTGTTAGGGTTGGGATAAAGGTGAGCATATAGTAAAAGTTGGCTAAAAAACCTTCGATTTCGCGTTACACGAAAATTGTCCTTTTTAGGTTTCAAGCAAATTTGCCCGGGCGTCAAATAGCAATTCTCATTTCTATATTATAAATCTTATAATAAATTATAAAAAAAAATATAAACTTTAAAAAACTATACTAAGAACTTCAACACCCTTATTGATACAATAAAAATGCATAAATCAGCTAAAAATTAAATAAATCCGGATTTAAAATAGTTAAACCCGGTCCCAAACTCTAGATCAGTTGTGCTATTTATTTAGTATTAAAAAATTTTGATGCATATTTATATATACAAAACGGAAATTATTTACATTCTCGAGCACAACGAGAAGCCAATATATGCACTATACGTATTTATGATAATGAACGAATATGAGAATCTAACCATTCTAATACTTTATGCGTATCATTAATGGGAATAACAAAACCCTCCGATAAAGGGATAAAATCACTTATGGAAATTTTATCGTTTGAAGTGACTGACTCAAAAAACCTATCCCATAATGGTATTCGTTTTAAAGAAGTAATTCGAGAATCTAAAGATGTATCGTATATAAAAATTTTGTTTTCTTCCCTTACTTCAATATCCAATCCATATTTTGGAAATTGTTCTGATGTGAAGAAAGGTAGTATCCTGGAAATTAAAATATTCATTGAATTATAGTACATCAAAGTAAAAAGTGTATTTATTAACAGACATTACCGTTGCGACCATATTAAACGAATATGATGAGAAGATCGAGGAATGATATTTAAAACACGCTCTCCTACGTAAACCGCATTCTTTTCGAGCGCATCCAAAGCAGAAAACAAATGGGTCGTCCGCGTCAATGTCTTAATAGAATAATCGCAAAAATATTAATATGAAATATTTAATAATACAATTTTAAGTATAATAACTTACAGTGATTAAAGATCCAACGTTACATTCGCAATTCAAAGTATTTTGAAGGTATATGCTTATCCTTTGATGTGGATTCCGACTCTTTGTTGTATTAGTAGTACCAAATTGTAACGAATATCGGTCAGACTTACAACTGATATCGAAAAATAAGTCCTAAAAAAATAATGGATAATCGATTTAATATTTGTTACACTCAAATTCGATATGGAACAGCACTACACCATGAGTATGTATTGCATGGTATCAACTTGTACCATGATATACTGATGTAGGCTATATGAAGTTTGATTTCTCAAAATACAACCTGTGAATATATGACTTTAACAGTCTGAAAATTAAAAGGCGCGACTTTAATGGAGGTATCCGCCCATGATGGTATGCTCACTTTATCATTATATATAAGAAAATTTAGTAAATTTGTCTAGAAAACCTACGGGCAACAAATTGATTACCTTGAGAAGCAGCTTGACAAATCATTACTATGCTACTCCAATCTCGAAGGAAAATTTTGATATAGGAATCTTCAGCATCGTATTTAAAAGATATAACCTGAGAAATGGGATCGTATCTAATGTTGTCTAATACGTTCAAAATGAAAATATTAAGTTAATAGTTATATGTATTAAAAAAAAAAAACAGATTCCGTTAGCGGAGTATTTCTTTGCCTTAGTAACTAAGGATTTATATATATATATATAATTTGCCTATTACCAAAGGATAGAAACACTTGTGATAACATTTATCTTTTAAGAAAAAGCTGTATTAAAATAAATATACTAACCTAATAAATCGGCATTGTTTATTGTTGGTAGGCTATTTGGTTTTATGCGTGTTGTCATTATTACCTGTACAAATTTGACAAGAATAAATAATTAATTAATTAAATAATAAGTGAGTGACACCAAGAGACTTTCAAATAATATGACAAGTTTAACCTCAGAGGCATCACTCAAGATAACTGAAGAATGAAATTGACAATAGTATTTACCGAGCACGCTGTAGTTGTTAATAAACGAGAGCCAACAAATCGAATATAAATGTCCCCAAAAACATTCAAAGCCTTGTCAATTGCTATTGGCATTTTTGCTAATATTGATTGTCTATCCATTTTCAAAACTGGAATAGACGAAGTTAAAGATATGGAGGAATCAGGATCGATAAATTCGAGGGATTTATCAGGTTGTATGACAGTAAATGACAAGTCATGCGATTTGATCTGTTCTTTCATTCTAAGATAAGATATGCGAGCACTTCATGGCATGAAATTTATAATTGTATTAAATGAGATTAGTATATGCTCATGAACCAAATGAATCAAAACCTTAACTTACCGACAAAGCGCAGAAATCCTGGCAAGATGCACAATTTCATATTCAAGCCTATATAAAAGTTTTATAAATTATCACCTTTAGTAAATGTTGCCATTTTTATTGGGCTACACAAAACCAGCTATAATATACCCAGCGTTAGCTCGCACGAGCTTTCTTTTTCTCGGTGATGTTCCTTCTGCTTTATCATCAATTTCTTCAAAATTTCGTTTCCCATAAAGGACGTCACCATCCATAGTTAGAGGAACATCTTTTTCTTGCAATTCTAAATTTGCTTTATCTATAAAGTTATTCCTTTCTTCTTCTAGGTATATAGGTTCAATGGACGACAGCTTATGGGTAGGATCTTTTGCGTCTTTAACTAATATAAACCTTTTAACTGGTGGTTCTCGACTAAACAGTTGCAAGAGTCCGGTTAACAAGAGCATCGAAAATATATGCAAGTAATTCATAAGTACCTCAAGGTCGTAAGCCAATAACGCAAACCACCATCCACAATCCCACAGATTAGAAAGTGATTATCGTACTGTGGGAAACGAAGATACGCGCAATGATTTGATCCTAATTGATTGAGATCCTCTTTACGTAATATCAGACCACTATGTATGTCAAATTGCAAATATTTAGCTGCCTTTTCAATTTGATCAATCCTGGATCTGAACTTTAGGTAACAAAGTGTCTGTACGACTGATTTATCGTCATTTTGTGCAAAGCTGAGTTTATCCTCACACATCTTAATAAATTCTAAATCCAATTAAACATTAAAAAACAATTGCTAACGCATATAGCAATACAAAATTAATGCTATTGAAAAAACGAGCTCACCTTTATCATCAATTTTATTGTTTTCTTCAATTATAATTCTACCGCTTCTAATATCTACACTGATAGTAACATATCTATCTCCAAAAAGCCATACACGTAACGACGAGATTTTCAAGAATTTCTTTGCAATATTGTCAGAAATTGGTGAGTCATCAGAGATAAAATCATCAGGAAATTCTTTATTATTCAAAAAAACGTGTTCAGAAATGTTTTTGAACATGTATAAAGAATGAAATTTTTTGGCCGGTCTAGAAACATAATGAATCCACGTGAACAAGTATGATATAAAATGTACCAACCTTGGCAGCCCTCTATAATTTCTAAATCTTCCTCCGAGAACGCACTCTTAGCAAGTGATGACAGTGCATTCTTAAAACCCTTAATAACTGATTCTGCACGTTTCTGCGTAACAGATAGTAATAGATGTTCAAAACTCAAATTGGTCGGATCCTGGTGACCAGATAAAAACAATAAATATTAACGTTTTATATTGACCAACAGTGATGATTAGAGCGAGCTAAGCAAGACTTTGTCATGAATTATTGATGATTTAAACGAATGGACAATAAATTAAATGAACTCACAAATTCCCAATCCAAAACTGTCCACTCAGTAACATTTTCGCCCGCTAAACCTATCCAGCGAGCTTGCAAGAATTTGTGCGGATAATTTAACCCACGCCCATCGTTCAAAACGCCAGGTTTGATACGTGAAGTGTCAGTTAGCCAATGTGACTTTGAAAGCATTGATCTTGACGAATGAATTAAAGAGCGCTTTGCTGTTTCTTCTGCAATCGTTATGTCAATCACATCACTTTTAAATGCTGTTTAGAATCAAATCATATTAGAGTCAGTTCTTTATTTCTTCCAACAATATATATAATTCATTTACGTACATGAATTAGAAGAAGGCTTCACACTTCTAAAGGTAAACAAGCGATTAAATTTTATGGCGTTATTTTTCAAGTTTTGAATATAATTATTTGTACACTACTAACCTCCAATAATAAATCCTAAGAAAAGTACGCGGATCTTCAAGAAGAGTTCCATCCGTTTCCAAAAATAAATTGTTTGCCCATCTTGTTCCTGCTAAACGGCAAGCCTACAAAATTAAACAATCATTTAAAAGATATAATTATATAAATGAATGTTAAGTTGTAACTAAATAAACTACAATCAGGCTTTACCTGCTGATAAAGAATATCAAGTTGCATATCTAAGCAAAATGTGTGTAAAAAATCATACAATTCTAGTAAAGGAAGCGATCTCGCAGGTTTCAATGTAGATTGCTCTGTATTTCCTGGAACTCTCGATAAAGGTAGTTCCGGTAATGGTGGATTTTTGGGAAGCAATCTAATTTGGGCATTTTGTATAACAAAATTGTTTTGTACTTCATGCAAAGATAAATCAATATCTATAACGATTCAAAGAAATTAATTTATAATTAGCTATGAAATTAATTATTAACATTTTCAGAATTATCAGGATTATAATTACCACTATAGAGCTTATCATTAGCAGATTGAATAAGAAATTTGAGGTCCACTATATGCCAAGGGAAATCTGGTTTTTGATCAATTAATGTCAATACCACCTGTTTATTCATAATTGTCAAATAAATAGTTGACTCATCAAATCAATTCGCCGTAAAGCATTATTGAAAAAAAAAAATCCGATCAACTTACTTCAAATTCCTTTTCGACAAAAAATGTTATCCTTCCATTATCCACGTGATATTTTCTCATGGCTGGAGGAACCACTTCTTCGGTTAATATTCGTAATTCAATTACACTATTCAGTTCCTCTAGGGCTTTTTTGACCTCACTATCTGTCAAGGGCTTGGAAGCAAGGGACTCCTATATAAATGTATTTTTACAATTCGTATTTAAATTAATATTCAAAAGAGAATAAATCTAAAATTTCAGTACCTCAATCACCCGTGGAAACCTTTGGTATTTTCCCGTTGTGAGTACGTCGACAGCTGTGATTATATCTAGAGAACGTACACTAATATATTAAATATCAACAAAGTAAATTTGAACATAATAAATTTTTTTATGAATTAGATATGTCATTCATTAAATTTCATAATATATAAAATTATGTCAATACCTCGTAGTTGGCATGAAATTTGCATGAACTCCAAGATTTTGTTCCACGATATTAATTTTTCGTTGCTGATTTTGGATCGCTTCATGATAAGACTATACAAAAAGAAATATTAACATCAATCGTCATTAAGTAACAATAAGTAAACTTCAAAGTTATAAGGTTAATTAAAACAAGGTATTATTTACTTCGCAGTTTTTAATAATATCAGCATGTTCAGACCATTTAACAAGTGATTGAAGCTTTAGGAATTGTTGGCGTTGTGGTATTAAATAATTTAACATGAAGGATTTTCTTCGATCGCCGTCTCCTGAGTCTATTTGCCTGCAAGGGCAATTAAATTGATTTGTATTAGGAAATATATGAAAGATAGTATATAAAAATATTTAAAGCCTACGATATTTTTTTATGTATAAAGGCAATAAGATTATCTCGAGAATCACAGTTGACAGAGGCGACTATCTCCTGAAGAGGCCTCCAATCTTGAGGGCTAGATGCGTACGCCATAAGAGCAAGAAGTTTTATATGTTTATTTGGCAAAGATAATTAATAATATATAGTATGTGAATTATAGTTATATATTGCTCCTCAGAATCTCTATCAAAGAAAGCAAGTTTAATATCACCACGCATAATTGAAATAACAAAAACGGAAATGATGTACAACAACAAAAAGTATAAATATGCCAGTGCTTCTTTTCTTTTGTAAATTAACACTAAAATAAATACCTGCTAGAGCAGTGTGGGGAATGGCGGAATCAAAGAGGACGGTATATGAAAAAGCAATGGTACGTTGTATGAACAAATGTTGAAAAAACATGAGAACCTCTTTAAGTTTTGATTTTTAAAAAAAAAGCACGACACTAGCTTCCGTCGTACCTGGGACAAAGAAGACTTCGAACGTCGCGCACGTGAACGAGCACGTCAAGAACGTGAGCAAGAGGAAGACGAAGACCGAAAGCGTAAAGGATTAAAGCCAAAATACTCTGAGAGTTCGATATCTGACCAGCCGCGAGATTTATTAAGGGCCCGTACTGAAAGAGTTATTTTAGATGCAAATCTGAATAAAACACAAGTTGTACAATCTACTAGTATTGCTTCAAAACAGCCGGGCTTTTATTGTAAAGAATGCGACTGTGTCGTCAAAGACAGTGTAAACTATTTAGATCATATTAATGGAAAGAAACGTAAGCTTCATGACAAATTTATATGATTATTGGTTTTTTTTTTTTTAAAGCTAAAGGAAATAAAATTTCTCATATTTAGATCAACGAGCCCTTGGAATGTCGATGAAAGTCGAGCGTAGCACCATAGACCAAATCAAAGCAAAGTTCGAACAATTAAAAAAGAAGAAGGAAGAAGAACAACAAATATATGGTTGGTATTTCAATCGGCTGAATAATTTTTTAACTTGCAATATTGATGAATTTTATTATTATAGACCTCGATGCACAAATAGAAAAAGCTCAAAGACAAGAAGAAGAAGAGAAACGAAGGAAAAAAGAACGAAAAAAAGCTAAAAAGAGGAATGAATCAAAAAAAAATGATAAAGAGGAAGGTGCTGAAGATGATATCGATCCAGAGATGGCAAAATTAATGGGGTATGGTGAAGCTGCCGAATTAACATTCAATATTTGCCTTTCAATACTGATGTATATCTTTTATAACAATAGATTTGGTGGATTTGGAACAACTAAATCTTAAAATAAAATTTTTCCATGGTTTATTGACATTAATAAGAAATGATCGTTTGCGTTTGGTAACAGTAGAGCAGTGATGGTGTTCAATTAAATTGTTTAATTGAACATGTTCAAAATTATATATTTAAAGCTAGTTAATTGTTTAAATTATTTTAACCTAATCTTCTTATTAAACGAACCTTATTTAGGCTTTTAATAAAAGTTGTAAAGAAAAATAATTACGATTTAATAGTGGCAAGAGCACAAGACTATAAGTAAATACTTTTTTAGCTTATTTTTCAATTTACTAGACTAATTTTGATTTTTATTACTGTTAAATTTGTAATTATTTTTTTTTTACAATTTTATTAGAAGTCCTAATAAGGTTAGTTTAATAAAAAAAATTTAAAATTTTTTTACTAATTTATTTGTAATTTATTAGTTAAAGTAAAATAATTATTTATTTTTTTATTAAAAAATTGTTTTTTTTTAATTTAAGTAGTTGTGTTACTAATTATTGTTAAAATTTTATTGTTATAATATATTAGGGTTTATTTATATGTACCCTAAGGTATATATACCCGCATCATATGACCTATATAGATCTCAAGATCAGGTGTAACGTTACACGATCAGAAAAATTCAAAAAAACGTTCGTTTTGACAAAAATCGCTAATTTCACAAGAAATTGGATACTAAACCACCTACTGTGCATTAATAAAAGGTTTTCCTTGAGCGATTTTACTATATAACTACCTAAACACTAACCCTGACATAGTTCTCACCCTAACTCTAAACTAATATAAACAATGTCGGTATTACTGTTTTTGTATGTACCGTAGTGCACTGACCAAAGTACCCGGGGTACAATACAATCTACCCATCAAAAAACTTACAAAGGACCCGGGTACATTATGCTATAGCGGGTCTGTGTTGCAAGAAAAAAAACTTTCAAGCATACACATATTCCACATTTACAATAAGCAGCTTAAAATTTAAAAAAACTCATTTTTAATTAATAGAGATCTCGTGTTTTGCACCAGGGTACTTTGCACGGGGGGTACTGAAAAAGGGGGTACTTTGGTCAGTGCACTACGGTAATATCGTATGATCAAAATAACGGGTACAAAAAATTTAATGTACCCCTACGGGTACATTTACATTAATTCAATATATTATAATAAGAATTAGTTAAAAACTTGTGTATAATATTTTGTATATAGTTATTTTTAATAGTTTTATAAATAGAAATATTTATTTGGAGTTATATTTAGAGTTAGAAAGAATTATAATTAGTGTTGGCAAATAAAACAGAACAAAAGTTTAATTTTTAGTCTTTATATAAAAAAATTTTTTTTATTAATAATTTGCAATTATTTAAATATATATTGTTAGAGCATTAGTAAAGTAATAAATTTAAATTATTTTTATATTTAATTAGTAAAATTTAGTATTTAAAATTATAATAGAAAAATAAAAAAATTGAATAGAATTAGAAGCCAATAGAAAATCAGATAAACATGACTAGTGTTTAAAATTGGATTAAAAATCTTGGTTTATCTAGGATTGATCTGAATCTTATCTGAAACCGAAATTCGGATTGATCTAATCTAATGGTTGATTTGAAATTTGTCATATATATTGTAATACAATAAGTGATAATTTAAAATTAATCACATGACAAATTTGAACCTATCACACATATTATAACACAAAATATGATAAATTCAAATTTGTCCTGTGACTAATTCGAATTTATCACATTTTGTGATTATATAAAGCAATGATCCTAAAATTGGGCTCAATTATACTCAATCTAACCTAATTTGAATTTTTTGGGCCAAAACTGATCTGACAATTAGGATTGGATCAAAATCCGAATCTGATCCAATTTAACTTTTTCGAACACTAAACATGACAACTCTGATTATAATATATAATAAAATGAAATATTATTTCTTAAATTGTAACAGGCAAATTTGCCTGCATTTATTTTTTTAAACTTTATTTTTTTAATAAAATTTCAAATATTAATTTTAGCAATAT